TGAGTGAAATGATGTGAAGTATATATGAAATAATTCATATTTGAACTGCGGTAGTAGATGAAAGTGAAGTATGATCATCGCAGTAAATTTTCCAATTTAAGCAATTGGAAAGAAGAAGCCTGAAAAAATCAGGGCTTCAACGGGATTCGAACCTGTGACCTCTGCGATACCAGTGCGATGCTCTATCAACTGAGCTATGAAGCCACACATTGGGAGCAAGGTCAATTAATTGAATCAAAGGTATTAAATCAAGGTATTGTTCACCATCAAGGCTTTTATGACTCTACCCCATGATTTTCCTCTTTAGTGCCTTTTGAACTTTGTTTTGAGTTTCTTCTTTCCATTTTAGGGCCAAAAGAGGTTTGTAATTTTCTGTGTTATGAAAAAAAAAAACAATTTTAAGTAGTCTAAAGACCTTGAAAGCTTGAAAATTACTGCAAGTACATGTAGCAAATGTACATACGGACATGTATGCGTATATATGTACTGGCAGTCACATGACAACCAACATTTCTTAGCCCAGTGGACTACCAAATTTTCTTAGGGCCTCTCTGCTAGGGTGCCTTCCATGTGCAGGAGTTTTGCTACAAGTGTTTTACACAAAATTACACTACTGAAAAATGGGTTGAAATCTATGATTTCTTGCATGGGACACTGTGGAGGCAACAACACAGCACTCAAGTACTTAGGCACGAGTAATCCCTCTTTTGCTTAGTCCATCATACGTGACACGAAAGAAAACTGCGAGGAAAATATGGTCGTGAGAACTCCTGGGGGTGAGAGACACGTGAAAGGAGGGTCTACTGCCTAAGCCAGAGAGTTTGACCTTTCACGGTCAAGTGATTTTGCAGTGCAAATTTTCAATCACATTACACGTATCTTGACATCCTCTCATTATCGCCTGTTGTCAAGAACCCCGCGGGATGTCTTGAGTAAAATCATTCTTCTCTTAGAGTAGCGAGGCAAAAACCATGCTTTAAGAAAATATTTATGTTGTTCGTTGAGTGAAACTGCTAAAGAAGTTTTGAAAAGAGGATGGCAAAGGCATCTTAGCATCTTGGCAGAAAGACCAAGCTCGGTCAATTCATATTTACAAAATTGATCTTCCACAGTGCGGTTGACCTGGTGTTGAGCAGCGAAAGTACTAACATGCTCGCATTCAGGTTTGAGGCGAAAAGTTTTGCCAAACAAAACACTTGATAAAATCAACTCTTTCCATAGCCTGAATCACAAGAACATCAAGAACATTACGCCAGTGAGACTCAATTCCAACACTTTGATTCATTCTGGTTCTAAACCTTTGTATTTTAAGAGAGCAAGATAAACATTCCTGCAAGATATCACACGTATCGACATGTATCTCAAAAGTTGACAATAATTGTTTTCAGCACTTGTAACATAAGCCAATCATATTTTTGTGTTGTGAGAGCAATGCATAATTTAAACTCTCTTGCCTAGGTAGTAGTCCCTCCTTTCATGTGCATCTTGCCCCCAGGATTTCACACAGCCATTTTTTCCCAGTCACGGTTTATTTAGTATTTACGGTATCGCTCGATGGACTAAGTGAAAGAGGGACACTACTCATAGTCTATCAATTGCTGCAAAATGCTGGTATTATTAATGTACAGTATGTTGGATGAAACTGTTCTGCATCAACGTTTCACAACAAAAAGTTAAAACAAACAAAGTGACACAAATAATTTTGTGATTGTCTTAAACTTTATACTCAATTCCACACGCGGAAACTAATTTTTATACGGATCACGCAAGAAAGGCTTGCATTACAACTTGTCCAAATTTGGTAACTGAGTCACAAAAGTATGCAAAATCACATGATTTCTGAGAAGGAAGTCACATTTGGAGTGTTGTTTTGTGAAGAAACTCTTCACATTTACGTGCTGGTGGTTTTTTGTCAAGATTTTGACAAGAAAGCAGAAAGACTTACAACTTATTAGGCCACTGAAATATGATACTGTCTTTAGAAACCGATTGTCTCTGAAGTCTTGACACTGGTCTTGCCACTAGATCAAACTTCGCCTTTGCTTGGTACAAGCCACAATTGCATGAAATACTGCTGTTTTAAAACGTTGTCAGCCAAGAACTTCAGACACTGCTATTTGTGCTTTTAGGAAAGTTTCTGGGCTCATCTACCAGGAGCTTAAAATTTTCTCGCATTCTCTCAGATAACACCTTGAAATAACTTTGTCTGGTTTGCCATGTGGCTTCAGTGGAGGCATCACAACTTGAGTATTTGATTCTCCAAACCACTGATGTATCACCACAGGATTATAATTTTGTTTACATGGATTATTGCTCCTTCCTCGTGCCATCTCTTCGAAGTCATGAAAGAAACAATCCACAAACTCATAATAACAACACTGGTCTAACACTACGATGTTCATGTAAACCATGCACAACTATTTTCTCTGAGAAATTGCCCACTTAACTAGTTTTATGAGAAATCACCCAATTTTTCGTACTTTTAAGATTTAGTCCGCAAAAAAATACCCCGTAACGCAAGTCTTCCTTGCCTGATTTGAACAAAAATAAATTTCCATGTGTGGAATTTAATACGGTTTAAGTGCATCGCTTTGATTGTTTTAATTTTTTTGTGGTAAAATGTTGATCCAGAACAGTTTTGTCCAGTATACTATTTAATTAATTTTATATTTACAGGGCCCCTTTGGATACCAGCCTTCCAGGTGAATGGGCTATCCTGTAAAAAATAAAGATTACTTTCCTCTCATTTTTTCTCCACGTCAATTTTCCATAAAATAATTGTCATGTCATGTCAAAGCCTGTGGGAAATTGAGTCTGCAGTGTCCTACATTTTGACTTTGTGGCAGTCAGCAGTCAGAGATCGTAGGCATTCAAAGTGCTGACCATATTGCCATGTTTCGGCTTAACTCTAAATTGTTTAACTCAAAATGTGATATTCAAAGAGAAGGTAACAATTCTAAGCCCTAAAATGCAAATCAATAAAAAACTCAAGTAAATCTCAAGGTTTTTCGGTCTCACTTCGCGAGATTGCTCCGAAAGTTCCGAAAAGTCACCGACTATCTGACCTACTTAAACACCCGATGACACAGGGGTCACTGGCCAACAAAAATTAATGGCTCATTTATGAAGTTTACACCAAAGAACTGGAAGAAAGGGCTGGAAAAAAGCGAAGAGATGCACAGTTTTAAATATTAACCCAACTTCACTTTATTGCATGACCTCTTCCTATCACGCCCATATACTCAATACTGTCTGCAAAGTTCCAGAAGCAATTATATATTGCGTGCAGTAATGAATGTGTCGATCCACCCGCATTCCATTAATGTTTTTTTTACCTGTTTGTTCCTCTACAACTGTTCGGGCCAGAATCACCTCAAAAATATCATGTGCGAAATTTAGACGGTTAAATTTCCGAAATTCATCAAAAAAAGAGGTTGTTATCTTAAATTCAACATAACTTTGATTTAAATATAGTTTAAAGGTATTTAAGCTTATGCTTATTTTGTAATACCGTTCTGCACGTACCTTGAACTTGACGATTCGCCAAATTTGCACACCAACTTTCTCTCCAGCTCCTTGCCAAGCCTTTTCTGTTTCAGCAGATTCTCTCTTCAGCTGTTTAACAGCAAGTAATAAAGGAAATTGAGCAGAGAAACAAAAGCAACAGACACATGCTGACCACTGTCGAGGTCCAGGGCACAACAACATCGAGTAACTACTAGCTGAATTTATTACTGCCTCTTACGTTTTTCTCAAGGTCGGAGCCAAACAAGGACAAATTGCTGTCTTTCCAGTCATAATGCTTGGCTTTCACGAGACCAGACATGGCTAGGCTTCACTTGTGAGCAATCTGAAGTTCAGCTCTGCAAGCCAGTAAATTATTGTGCGAGAAGACACACCTTCAAAAATATTTTAACATCTGAAGAACATAACATACCTGATTGGCTGGCGAGCACTAATAAATTATTGTCGGTATTTGTCACGCCTTCCTTCTAGTCTCTTCGTACTGCTTCCCCTGACTGCTTCTAGGACATCACAGGCAACACGGAGACCAAACAGACTTTTTTGCTATTTTGACGAAATTAGGAAACTGGTGAACCCTCGCATACGTTGAATTGATGAAGTTAAATGGAGAGACGCAAGGAAGGGGAGTAGCTAGACGGAATACTGAATCCCAGTACTGCACGGGGAACACTCGGAGGCCCCTGGGGACCGACCCGAGACCAAATTCTCCGGAATCTTCAGGCTCTTTGGTCAGCAGTCGGTCACCATCCAAATTAGAAACGTGGTGTAGGTGTAATTGTTTAGCGATCAAAAAGCGGTCTGCAAGAAACTTTTGTTACACCCTGATGTAACTCATTTCGTTTATAACATTCATTCGGTATATGAAGTCATCCAAGCCCATTTATTACAATATAGTGAATTTTTTTAAAATATTACAATGTTAAATAGCTCGGGGTGGACATTGGGTGAGAGAGGACTAGGACCGAAGTTAGTTTGAGCAGCTGTCCATGTGACTGCACCACCGGACGCTTATTGTGCCACGTCTCAGAAAGAAGCGGTTATCCCCAGTTGAATTGAGTTTTTGTGTCTAGAAGTGTTTGTAGAGTCGTCCGATCTCCGTAGAAAAGGTACAAGAACCAAAGATACGTTTGATTTCTGGGCCAAACTTTCCGAAATGTGGCAGAAGTACGGCCTTCTTTGTTGCTTTGTGATCGCGTTCGCTGTTCTTTGCGTGGCTCCTCCAGTTCGGAAAGACAGAAAGAAGGCAGACAACGAATCGGAAGGGAAAGGCGATCCAGAGTATGCTAGATATCTGAAACAAGTGATTGAAATTTTAGAAAATGATGATGACTACGTCAAAAGATTACTAAACGCTTCTGACGAAGAACTAAGAACTGGGCGAGTGGCCGATGACATAGACCTTGTAAAACATGATGTAAGGACCAAGCTAGATGAACTAAAACGACAGGAAGTGGAAAGACAACGAATGATACGACGACAAATGAACGATCACTTGAATGGGCTGAAGGAAAGGGAGTATTGGAATCCGCTGTTTGATGACGATAATCCCAATTTCTTTGGGCCTGAGGATTTTAAAAAGCTACTGAGGAAGGTAAGGCTCTCAAATTAAGAAAATTTGAATTTGTCTCTTTTTCAACTTTTCAAGGGGAAGTGAAAGCTGTGCCGGTAAATCCTGATGATTTGTTCAAATAAAATTTATTGGGAAAACACAGGGGTATCTTACCACATCTGTGTAAACGTGAAATGTCTTACATGAAAGGAAACCAAGATTTTTTTTTTGACATCAACGCTTACGTTTACATGTACGTATCCAGCACTGTCTCAGCCCACTTTATGAAATAACATATTATTGTTACTTTTTCAGTTTGAATAAATTTGTCAGCATGCTAGCCTGATTCTCAGACAGTCCAAGGTTGCTTGTGCAGACTCCCTCCTATTCAACTGGGTAAATTATAGGAGAGAGGAGAGAGTCTGGGTGAGCAATGTTAGACTGTCTGGGAATCATGCTATTAGAATGCAGAATTCTATAGAAGTTTCTGTTAACTTCAATTTTGACTGGTATACTTGTTACACAATGACATAATACAAAAAAAGATTCTGCTCTTTCAATTTTCCAACTCTCACAAATCAGCCATAAGGTTTTTCAAGAGTCTCCAAAAGGCAAGCCAAGCTAACGCGGTTTCGTGATGTCATTCTGTGCGAGAGTTTTTGTCCAAATGGCTTCCGACAAGTCTTTTAACTACCACTCTGGGATATGGCTGCTCTTGAGCCATATTATTTTGAGCCAAACATGCTTTTAACTCCAAAATGGTAGTATTGAAGATTGTGAAGTGGATAATTGCTTGGAAAAAATAGATTTTGCTGACCTTGTGAAGGATGCCAAGTCAGTTGCAGGCTTTTCTCCTTCCCACCAATTTCGAGTCAGATAGAATGACATTATATAAACACGGCCTGGCTGCCAAGACAGTTTCAAACTGGCGGCCTCCAAAGTCACTTCTTTCGAGATGAATTTCTTCAGGGTAGTGGGCACTTCAGAGGCTGGAACTTCGGTGAGTGGAAAAGCTGAATGTTGACTTGCTATAGGCGAAGACATAAAAAGTAAGCTTTTTGGAGTGGCCTCCAAAACCTAGCTCCAAGATGTGTAGCTCACCTACAGAAAACGGCCATGGTTGGTTCAAACAAGGTTAAATCTTACATGCATGGAGTTATGTAGCTCGCTGATGGCAAATGGCTAGATTTGTGGTCACAACATAAATTTACTGATTCTATGGTTCTAAGAGTCAATTAATTAGGTCATATCCCAAAGATTTTTACTTATAATTTACACTGTAGAAGTCAAGACCTCATGCCTATCAAAGCAGCAATAATTACCATTCCCCATCGGACTGCAGCCACACAACATATCGGACACACTTCCTTATCTACTATTACTCCTAGTTTTAACATTTTATTCATCAAGGTAAGATATCTTTTCAGAATTTTTCTCCCAAAATCATGAGATTGGGAGGGAGGTTGGGAGAAAAGATAAAAGAATCATGAGACTCATGGCAGAATTGTGAGAGTTGGCAGGTCTGTTCCCTGGCATGTATAACTCATGATCTCACTATGGTGAAATGTTAAAAATAAAAAAAAAGTTGGAAGATTTTTTCATAGATGTTTTTAGTAATTAGTCATTCCAAAGGGGATTTCACCTAAATATTATATATACTGAGCTTTTGTTTTGGCCAAAAATAAGTGCCCATTTGAGAAGGATGGTTATAAGGTGGAGTCCTAATATATATTAGTATAAATCTACTAGCGTTCTATCACAAATGCCATTCTCTGATTGGCCGCCCTACTCCAGGGTCCAAAATTAACTTTTTTAGGCAGGTGCCAACTGGCAACTGAAATTTTTTTTCAGTTGCCATAAGGAAAAATGTGGTCACCAAAAAGTGTCAATAAAATTTTTCCTTCACAGCGAAACACAAACCAAACTTTTTGGTCACCACAGGCTTGCCGGCAAAATATTTGCAATCGATGTCATCAAGAATCAAACTAGTGCTGAAATCATCTTTTGGCCACTTTGACAGATCTAAATTTCCACCTTTTGACAGCCAGAGAATATTTAAATCTTCAACTAATTTCTTTGCGGATGTCCTGTCCCCACTTGGTAATAAATTATGGGAAGATTTCAGAACATCTTTGGACACCACCTTGCCTGGATAAATATTCATGGCGAAGGAACGCATGTGGCCTCTTGCGCCCCGCAATATGTATGTTATGGAAACCGCTGAAAAAACATGGCAACGAAGCTTCGCACTGATCGTAGCTGTGAAACGTTTTGGTAGATTTATAATAACAGGAAAATCGGTTTTATACTTCAAAAGCAGCAGAGAGGTAAAAAGTAAGTGACCAATTGGCAGGCGGCTTTGAATGTTATGTTAATTGATTTGGCTGAAAATCAAAGTTATTGTTTGTATAATTATCGTGGCATGAAATAGTTAATCGCCTGCTGATGACCAGTTGTGAAATTCTGGTCGCCAGTGCAAACTTTTTAGTCACATTGGCGACCAGGAAAGCACAATTTCGGACCCTGTACTCACTATCTATTCTGTGAGTAGCGTGGCAGTGTGCCCTTGTTAACAAAATGACAGCCACTTCTTGGCATTTTCAAAGTGTCTGAAGAGAAGTTAGATAAAGTTTTGAACGACTACTAGATTTATACTAAAACAATCTGATTATGAGCTCTCAATTTCTATGTGTGAAAGTTGACTTGGGCTGCCCCCTGGTCAACTATCACGCGATAGAAATTGAGAGCTCATAATCTAATTGTGTAGTAGAAATGGAAGTTTGGTAAGAAACTTCTTGCGATTTGAATTGTCCAAATTACCGTGTTCTAGAAAATCAGCCCTTGACAAGTTCAAATTATTTTTACAGCACTGTGCTGTTGATATCAACACAATTTAATCCGGTTTGTTAATCACAAGTATGATTACAGACTGAATTGGACGACGCGATGTCCTGTTACCAATTAATCAAAACTATGACAAAATTCAAGAAATGAACAAACCATCGATTGATCGCTGAACGATTAAATGTCGTTATGAATGCTGAAAAACACAGCAGTTTATTCAACAAAGTGCACCACAACAGCACGCGCAAAATGCCTACTGTCCAATTACAAGCATGATGCATACACTGTCCAATTAATGCTCAAATCAGGCTGCTGATAGCCAATCATGTTCGAGAATTTTGTTATAGTTTTGATTAATGCATAAACTGCTGTATTAATAGCTCTATTTTATTAATCTGCAAAGTTGTGATCGGACAGTTGGCTGTAATCAGACACCTGCAATGATTAATTGGACAGTTACATGAACCAATCATTTTAAGTCCTCTCCACTAAATCCACCAATCACGACATTGATTACAATCACTATTCATAGCAACCAATTCAAGAGACGGGACTTTGTAAAATTGTGGAGGTTTAGTCTCCGGTGACTGTTTTGAAAGAAACTTAACAGCCATTTTGCGAGCTAATTTTCTCCATATTTTTAATTATGATATTTAAAAATGACTTCTATTAAAAGCTCTTTTTCAAATGAAACATTTACTTTCATGGGAAATTGTAATGGTTATGATTAATTGGTAACAGGACATTGTGTCATCCAATTCAGTCTGTAATCATAGTCTACTTCACAAATCAGACTCCCGCTTCTCGTTCGTCCAATTTTATTAATCACTTGTATGATTACAGACCAAATTGGACTCCACTCAGTCCTATTACCATTATTAATTTGAGGGAACAAGGGATATCTCTACCATAAGGGAACTTTGACAGAAAGGCTTAGGGAACAAATTTTATGAAATTAGTCAATTTTGAACACAGGTGAAATTTTCAAGGGAATTTGCTATACCCTCTGGGAGGCCCTCATTTTTAGCAGCCTCCATATAGCTGTGTCAACATTGAATGTGGTCCCTAGGGAGGGCAGAGGGACTGCCTTTAAAAAGGACAGGGGTTCTCATTGTACCATGGTTATAAAAACGGTTATGGTACCTCTTAGGGTGTTCAGCTATGAGCCTCAAAGGGTCCTCAGTAGAAACGTATGCAGTACCTTTACACGGTGTCAGTTAAGGTTGCCGAACACAGGTTTTGATACCTGTGTTTCATTCACCTTTTTCCTTTGGTCACTAAAAATGGCAACAAGCTAGATAACACAAACTTCTTTTTCTTTTTTTTTTTTTTTTTT